CCCCATCCCACTGATGCCAAACCCTCTCTTCAACATCCCCTCCACGTTCCATCAGTTCCACATCCATTCCGTGTCCCTTCTCCACGTCCCATTGATGCCACATCCGTCCCACCTCCCCTCCGTGTCCCATTGACGCCCCCCCCCCCCATCCCACTGATGCCAACCCCCCTCCTTGTCCCACTGCAGCGAATCCGTGACCCTCAGGACCCACCGTGCGTTCGCCCAACCCCGACATCGGCATCTCTGCGCTCTGTGAGCGGCGCCGTGCGCCCACCCCCACCCGTGGGTCAGCGCTGCTGTGGGTCAGCATTGCTGTGGGTCAGCGCTGCTGTGGGTTCGTGCTGCTGAGGCTGGTGGTTCCGAGGGTCGGTGGCGCTGAGGGTCGGTCGTGCCGTGGGTCGGCGCCGCTGCGGATTTGCGTGGCCGTGGGTCGGCGTAGCCGCGGGTCACCGCCGCCGTTCGGCCCATGGTTCCGGCGGAGGCCCCGGCGCTGCAGCGCGCGGTGACGGCGGGCCGATTGCGGCTGGCGCGGCTGCTGCTGGAGGGCGGCGCGTACATCAACGAGGGCGACGCGCGGGGCCGTACGGCGCTGATGGCCGCGTGTCGGACGCGCTACGCCGACCCCGCGGAGGGGACGCGGATGGTTCGGTACCTCCTGCGCCGCGGAGCCGACCCCAACATCGCCGACGCGGCCGGCATGACGGCGCTGATGCACGCCTGCGCCGAGCGAGCCGGGGCCGGCGTGGCCGCCGCGCTGCTGGAGCACGGAGCCGACCCCAGCGCCAGGGATTACGGCGGCGGCTCGGCGCTGCTGTACGCGGCGCGGTGCGGGGATCGGCAGACGCTGCAGGCGCTGCTGGACGCGTGCGAGGCGAGAGGACGCGAAGTCATCATCATCACCACCGCCACGTCGCCGTCGGGCACCAAAACCACCCGGCAGTACCTGCACGCGGCCCCGCCGTCCCCGGCGTCGTCGGCGTCGTCGTCTCCCGCCCCGTGCGCGTCGCCGTCGGAAGTGGAGCTGCGCGCCGTCGCCGCGTCGCCCGCCGGCGGCGAAACGGAACGCGAGGAGCGCGTCTTCCGCTTCCCGCCCGCCGTCGCTCCGCCGTCGACGGGTGACGCCGCCGCCGCCGCCGCCGCCGCCCCGCCGCCCCGAGCCCGACGGCGGCCGCTGCAGCGCCTCAACTCGGAGCCGGGGGGGCTGCGGGCGGCGGGGAGCCCCGCGGAGGGGCTGCTGGAGGGGCTGGAGGGGCTGCGGCTGAGCGCGCGCCCGAGGCGGCACAGCGCGGAGGGCCGCGACGCCGACGGGACGGGAGCCCCCCCCGGCGACCCCCGGGTGCCCCCGCCGTCCCCGTCGCCGCCGTCGCTCCGCGGGCCCCGACGTGCGGCCGCGGCGCCGCCCCCTCCCGAATCGCCCCCCGCTCCGCGCCGCCGCGTTCCCGGCTTGCTGCTGCGCCGCGGGTCGGGGCCGCTGCTCCTGGAGCCCCCCGGGTCGGGCAGAGCCCCCCCTCCGCCCCCGTTGCTGCCCCCTCTGCTCGGCCTCCCCCCTCCGGGACCCCCGTCGCCCAAAGGCCGCCGTCAGCTGCTGCGCCGGCACTCGGTGCAGACCGAACAGATGTGGCACGGCGCCGACGGCGGGGGGAGACCGTGAGGAACCCCACGGGGACCCCAACAGAAGCCCACAGAGGAGCCCTCGAGGACTGAGCGGGGATCCACTGGGACCCAACAGTTACTCCGTGGGGAGCCCACGATGCCCCGCAGTGACTCAGCAGAGAACCGACGGGGACCCCGCAGTGCTGCCATCATCGTCCTACAGCGACCCCACGGGGACCCCAAAATGACCCCACGGAGTCCCCGCAGTGACCCCACAATATCCCTACGGGGACCCCACAGCTGACCTCACGGGGACCCCAAAATGACCCCACGGCGATCCCACGGCTGATTCGAGCCCCGTTTGGGGGTCACGGTGCGACCCACAGCGCCCCCTGGCGGTACGGCGGTACGGC